GGTTGATTGGCGTCTGCAGACGCTGGAGTGATTTCATCTCTTACTCTTGGCGCTCTGCAGGCTGCGGTTGTATCCCACGGGGCTGAAGAACTCGAAGATGAAGACGGTGACAGCCACCACCGACAGGCACATCACAAACATCATCACCCACACCGCTGGGCTGTAGGGCTCTGCAACGCACACACACACACACACACACAAAATATCAGATACAGTTTCAGAAGTTATCATCTGTGAAGAACAACTTTGTGAAACTGCAGAAACAAACTCAGAACTTGTTGAAATGTGAAACGTGCGATTGTTCATTTGCTCCGTCACGAGGCGTTTTCACACCTGGAAGTCAAACAGGACGCCACATTTCCAATCACTCAGCTCCTCAGTTCACTGATCTGCTCCGACCCAGCGGCCGGCCAGGACACAATTACATGCAGGTTGCATAGCAACAGAACTTGACACAGCTCCGACAGTGACGTGTGAACTGTCACCCCCTCACCTGTGAAACTCACATTAACGGAGACGCGGCGACATTTGATTTGTTCTTCAGCTCCGATGATTTTTTTTTTAATGTTCTGAAAACCAACAAAAGTTTTTTAATCCCCAACTATGAGGAACTAACTCGAGTTGGATCCTTGTCAAGGTTATGATGCTTTGGGAAGACGAGCCGACACGTCTGTGCATTAACATGAGGACAAACAGATGCAGAGAGAGCTGCGGGTAGAGCGAGAACCAACGGGATTCTGGGAAACAGAGACGCGCTCAGCGGCTGGTTTCACTGTGTTCACGTCAGATCAGATTCACAGCGAGTGTAAGAGCTGTCACAAAGAGACGAGTGAAACCAGGAGGGGTCACAAGTCTGGAACTGACAAACATTTACACAAAACAAACGAGAGCACAGACGCAGTCACTTTCATCAGGCACAGTCATTAATGTTATTCACTGTTTATGAAACGTGTTCTTGTCGTTAGTTTGGCAGGATTGTGCTAAAAAAAACGATGCAAATGTTTTGGTTCACTGTGAAACAGAGGATTTAAAAACCGAAGCTCAGTTTCACTCTGCGTTCATGAATCTGTGTCGTCCCTTCACTGCATGACAGAGCACAGGAGCAGCTTCATCCTGAACGCTGCAGGTAGAACAAATGGCTCTGAAGCAGGAGGAAGTGGTCTCTCCCCATCACATCCGTCTAAACTAATGGGCGCTGGGTGTTTTTCCAGATTAGTGACTCAGGATTTCCTGCCGACTCTGACACCAGAAGATGCGGCAGCTGTAACGCTAATAAAACGCCGGCGCAGCAACGGGCTGAGCTGCTGGTTCCACTCATCAGCACCTTTGTCTCCTTTAGTGCGACATCCAGCGAGGGAGCGTAAATCAAACCGAGCTGTGAAGAGACGCGAGGCTGCAGAGAGCAACAGGCTGAGTTCCTGTTTGAGGCTTTGAGCCGCTGCTGCAGAGACGAGCGGAGACGAGCAGAACTGGGTCATTGTGCCTTGAAGGTGGAGCCGTCACTCTGAGGGGGAACGTCTGGTTCCCACTGGGATTTCATTTGGCTGAGGATTAATCTCAGATGCAGAAGAATCCAGAGATAATTTGTTCAATACGTTTGTTTCTTTGATTGTTTTTTATCAGACAGTTAAAGGTGCAGTGTGTAGAATTTAGTGACACACACTTACACACTGGACCTTTAAAGACATCGATTTGTGATCGATGAAAAATCATGCAAACATTCTTTGGGATGTTTCATGACGGACAAAAGCTACGGAACATTTTAGGAAAACATTCGGAGGTCTGACAACAGCTTCAGTTAAAAAAAATACGGACTGAGATTCTAATAGAACGTCACTGTTTAGGTACAAAACTCTTACTTTAAAAAGAAAAAGCTAAACACGGAATTATTTACACGGCAGCACACAGACACATCGTGAACTCGCTGAGTCGTGATGCTCCGCCTGCAGGAAGACACGATCCAAGGTTAAAGCGAAGTCGAGGACTCTGCTTTGAAAAGTACAGCGATCGCACGCCGCTGCAAAGTAAACAAACAGGGCTTTTCTTCTCTTCCTCTGGAAAACGCTGAACGGAGAAACTTCTCAGTGGCTTTTAACGAACTCCGAGGTCAAAGACGTCGTTCAGAAAATGTTCGAAATGAAGAATAGAGTCGCTCTGCAGGAAATGTAACAATGCAACAGTCATCTGTGTGATTAAAGCAGCATTCATTTTGTGAATGAGCCGTGTCTGACAGGGAGGCCACTTTTCTCTTCTCTTGGATTTTGTCATATTTGCACGTTAGTAATGAAAACTCTGGTCCACTTATACATTTGTGTGCATTTATAGGTCAGGTACTTGTGCTCAACCTCAGACATTTCCCAGTTTCCAGTCAACCTGCGGGGGCTTTCTACGTTTAACATAATTCCATATTTTTGTTTCCATTGAAGACGAGTCTCGAGGGCAGAGACGGAGCAGACGGATTCATCCAGCGTCTGTCGAGTGGCGAAAAAAAAATTAATGTCACGGATTATTAAAAAAAACAAAAAAAAAAGACTGAGGCCAAAAATACGCAGACGAGAACCTGGATGAATGAGACTGAAGATTCTTTGTCGTAGTGTTTGATAAAGATATAAAATGATAGAACACGCAGCTTCGTACACGTCTGACTCTGAGATGAGGACGTTTCTCAGTGTCGGGGTCAAAAAGTCTCAAACAACTTTGATTTGCTTCTTTCAGTTTCCTCACTTGATCGTTTCTCTTCATCCACTCGTACTTTTCTCTGGTTGATGCTTATGTTTTTATCTTTTCTCCCACAAACCAGCTTTACGCAGTCTTCACGTGCACACACACACACACACAAACAGGCAGAGCTACAGTATGGAATCACCGTCGGCCCTGTGGTCCGGCGCTCCTGAGATAAAATGGTCTTAGGAGCGCGGCGCGTCCGTCCAACCATGACGTGTTTGAGATTGTCTCCTAAATCTCCTGTGACAGATGGATGGATGTACTACGACCGCAGCTGTGTAAGTAAAAACTGAAAGAGATCCGCGAAGAGGCGGAGAGAAGAGGTCGAGGTCTACGAGGAGAGAATGAACTGAGAGAACTGAAAGACGAGGAAATCCAGGAAATGAGCTTTAATTACAGGAGGTGTCTGAATTTGAGGAGGTTGTTCTGGAAGTTAAAGTTTTTTGGTCGAGTTTTAGTAAACTGTCAAATATTATTTCATGATTTGATCTTTTAAAACTAGATGTTTATGTTATTTAAATTTCTGAAGGTCCAGATCTGGTTTCAGTCTGAGGAAAGTTCGTCTGGTCTCATATTCAAATTCGTGTTTCCTGTTTCCACTCGTGATCAGATCGTGTTCACAAAGATTAAAGATGATGGTTTTACAACCACACACACACACACACACACACACACACACACACACACACACACACACACAC